CCCATCGATCTCATGTCCGTTCAACATGTCGGCAGCTCGCGTAACAAACGCTTTCGGCGAGATGTCGAGATGTGCTCCTCACTTTGAGAAGTATCGGAAGCTGACAACGGTTCGAGGAAAGCCGGCACGAAAACCCCTGAGCCCAAACCGATAGGCGCTTCAAGAAGAACGCAAACGTGCTGTGCTGTACGAGCACACGAACTTTTGCGTTCGCTCTCAGATTTCGGTGGGGCAACGATTCCAAGACGTGGTTTGCCACTGGCTGCTCTGGCAGCGCCAAGAAGGACCATCCCAGGCGGTGGCAGACGGACAACCATCGCCACACGATACATGGTGCAACCTCTATCACCGACAGGGATGGTTGCCAGGGCCTTCGGATGATGGGGGTGGTCGCTCTCACGCTTGTCCAGCTGCCGAGCGTGCCGGCAACGTCCAACGGTGGACTCGCCTTTCGATGCCAACGCCAAAAGGACTTGAGTTCGTCAGGATCACGCCGATACAGTCCCGTTCCATTTCCCTTTAGCACCGAGAGCACGGTCTCCGTTAGTACTTGAATCATTTCTCCAAGCTCCATGGAGTGGAAATCGAGCAAACGGTTCAGGAATCCGTTCAAACCCCTGAAACTGTCACCCGAAGCAGCTCAGGAACTCGAGACACTCGCTGAGGTTTTCGTATCCGAAAGTATTCGCACTTATGAGCATTTCCTGTTTGACGAGAACTCCCAAGTAGATGACAATCGATGGAAGTTCATGTACCAGAAGGACGACGTGAAATCGTACGCCGAACGCGCCGGATTTTCAGCACCAGAACCGAGAATGGAGTCGTGCACCCGTCCCCGGTCACTATCGTCGTCGATATCAGAGCTTCCGATCGTCCTTGTGACCGGTACAATTGAAGGAAATCTAGACGACACGATCTACGGCTTCATGTGTCCCACACTCGACATGATGCGTATCAAGACGTCGTACGTCCAAGACACCATGTATCGCGCCTGTGTGCTGGCTACGCTAGTAGAGCCTACAACGGAGGATCCTTTCCGCTCACTGAGCATCAAATGGGTCGAGAAGGGTCAACCTTTTCACGTCCGCGCAGTGATCAAGAACCGCGACTTCGTGTACATGGAATCTACCGGCACCCGGTACCTTCGCAACGGCGAACGTGTCGGGTATCAGCTCGTGCACTCGGTGCAGTTCCCCGAGACGCCTGCGCGCGGCTCGGCTATCCGTGGGAACATGTCAATGAGCGCCATCTATCGCCAGCGCGATAGCAACGTCGTGGACGTATTTATCAAAGGGTTCTTAAACCCAGCAGGCGGCTTGACGCGCTCTATCATCACCCGTTCAGCTGCCAAGGCACTGCTGTCCGTGTCCAAGAATGTTCACTGCGCGCAGATGAAGAAACTGGCATGGAGTATCCGACAACGCTGTCCTACGATGATGGAAAGGCAAGCAGACTCGGTAGTGTGCGTGACGTGTTTGAAGAGACCTTCTGGTACACATCGTCTGTTGCACCGCCATCTTTGCTGCGGCGTATGCGCTCGCTACGTCTGTTCAGGGTGTCGTATTCACAAGAAGCTGCACTTTATGATGGCAGACCGTAAGATGTTGGAGCAGGAAGTTGCGTTCTGTCCAAAGTGCTACACGGAAGCTCTCAACGCGAAAACTGTGACTGTAGCTAGCCAAGAATTGCTCTTTAACGACGTGTACGGCTGGAACGAGGTGTGTGCGTTCACTTCCGGCACTGAGATCTCCCTGTTCGACGACCTGAATTGAAGCGAGAACAGTAGAGTTATTTATTAGAGCACGAAATGTGCAATAGTTGAAGTGGAAAGCCACACGGATTACGCTTCGAGTTGAGTCAGATTGACACCATCCTACGTGAGAGGGCCAGTATCATCCGTCTGGTCTTTTCCATACAGTCAGCTGTGCCGATCAAGCATGTAAGTCCAAATTACGGTAGAGTTCGCAGAGTTTTAGGAAAGAAAAGATGACAGATTAAAT